CTCAGGGCGGCGCCGGGGGTTGGGGCTCGGGGCGGCTCCCTGAGGGGATTCCCGGGATTTGTGGGGATGGGAAGGGGACGCTGAGGGAACTCGCGGCTTTTCTGGGGCGGGAATTCAAATCCTGAGGGAATTCCCGAGTTTTGGGGATGGGAATTGGGAGCCCGAAGGAATTCCCGGTTGTTTTGGGGTGGGAAGGGACCGCTGAGGGCGTTCCTGGTTTTATTTGGGATCAAGAGGAAACACTGAGGGCATTCCTGTTTTTTGGGGGGATCAAGAGGGAAAACTGAGAGGATTCCTGGATTTTCTGGGATAGAGAGGGAACACTGAGGGGATTCCTGGTTTTTTTGGGATGAAGAGGGAATTCCCGGGTTTTTTTGAGTAGGAATTGGGAGCTTGGGGGTGTCCCCAGGGTTTTGTGGTTGGAATTGGGAGCCTGAGGGAATTCCTGGATATTTTGGGATGGGAATTGGGAGCCTGAGGGAATTCCTGGATATTTTGGGGTGACAGGGCGTCCCTGAGGGTGTTGCCAGGTTTTTTGGGAATACACTGAGGGAATTCCTGGGAATTTTGAGGTGGGAAGGGAATAGTGAGGGAATTCCCGGGTTTTTTGGGGTGGGAAAGGGACGCTGAGGGAATTCCGGGGTGTTTTGGGAGGAGAATTGGGAGCCTGAGGGAATTCCCAAAGTCTGGGGATGGGAATTCAGAACCTGAGGGAATGCCTGGGTTTTTTGTGGTGGGAATTGGGAGCCTGAGGGAATTCCTGAGGTTTTGGGGTGGGAATCGGGAGCCTGGGGGAGGTTTTGGGGTTGGAATTCCCAACCTGAGGGAATTCACAAGGTTTTGGGGTTGGAATTCCCAAGCTGAGGGAATTCCCGAGGTGTTGGGATCCCTCCCCGCTGAATTCCCTTGGATTTCCCTCCCCAAATTCCCCAAATTTCCCCAAATCCTGGCGTTGTCTGGGCTGAGCTTCCGGGCCGGCTTTTCCCGGGATCCAGCAGATCCCAGCTCCAGACGCTTTGGGGGGATTTGGGAATCCCTTCCCAAAGTTTGGGGGGATTTGGGAATCCCTTCCCAAAGTTTTGGGGCTGTTTGGGAGCTTTGGGATTTCTGCGCATCCTCGCTGCGATTCCAGGGGGTCGGAGCCGCTTCCGTCGGATTTGGGGTTTTTTGGGATCGTTTCCCGAGCTTTGGGGCGGCTTCAGCGTCGCCTGTGGAATTCCCGAGCGTCTCTCCGAGTTTTGGGGCCGTTTGGGGATTTTTTTGTGGAATTCTGGGGCGGTTTGAGGATGTTTTGTGGAATTCCGGGGCGGTTTGAGGATGTTTTGTGGAATTCTGGGGCGGTTTGAGGATTTTTTGTGGAATTCTGGGGCGGTTTGAGGATGTTTTGCGGAATTCCGGGATGGTTTGAGGATGTTTTGTGGAATTCCAGGATGGTTTGAGGATGTTTTGTGGAATTCTGGGGTTTTGAGCGTGGTCTGTCAAATATTTGAGTTCTTTGAGCATCACTCAGTGTGGGGTTTTGAGCGTGGTCTGTCAAATATTTGAGTTCTTTGAGCATCACTCAGTGAATTTTGGGGCTTTTTGAGGATTTTCTGGGAAGGTTCTGAGACTTTTGAGCCTCATTTCCCAAAATTTGGGGTCGTTCGAGGATCATTCCCAAAATTCGGGGTCATTTGAGGATCATTCCCAAGATTTTGGGGTTATTTAAGGATCATTTACCTAAGTTTGGGATATTTAAGGGCCATTCCCAAATTTTGGGGCTATTTAAAGAACTTTCCCAGATTTTGGGGTGTTTTTAAGGGTCACTCCCAAAGTTTGAGGATCATTCCCGAAGTTTTGGGGTCGTTTGAGGATAATTTCCCAAAGTTTTGGGGTTGTTTGAGGATAATTCCCAAGGTTTTGGGGAATTTGGGATCCCTCGGGCCTGGGAATGAACCCCTGCATTCCCAGCGGAGCATGGGATGAGATTCCCTGGCCAGAATTGAGGAAAAACGGGATTTTCCCAGGATTTTTATCCCTGGGGTTCCTCCAGGCTGCCTGCCCTGATCCCAAATCCCGGAATTCCAGGGAAAACAGGGATTGGTCATGGAATTCCGGGCTTTCCATCCCGATTTTTGGGTTATTCTGGGAGCAGGGAGGGAAATCCCAAGGCCCGCCCCTCCCTCATTCCCATTCCAGGGGATTTCTGGGAATAATCCCCCAAAATTCCCTTCCCGCTCCTGGATGGGACCAGGGAGAATCTGGGAATTTTGGGATTGGGATTCCCTGGGCTTGGGGAGGATCCGGAGGATTTTCCATGGAATTCTGTTCCCAGGGTCGGGCAGGGAACGGGGAATTTCATCCCGGAGGATCCCCCGGATCCCAAATTCCTCCGGAATGTGGCGGAGCTGGGGCGGGAAAGGGGGGGAAAAAAGCGGGAAAAGCTTGGGAAAATCCACCCTCATCCCAAAAAAAAGGGCGGGAATCCGGGTTTGGGGTGGGATTTTGGGATGAGCTCCACAAAAAGTGGGGGGGAAAATGGGAATTTTTGGGGACGGGATGGATGGAATCCTGCCCGGAGCTCCCCGTTCCCTGCGGGATTCATCCCAAATCCCCAAAAATCCCCTGGATTGGGAAAATTCCCTGGAAAACCCCCGGGATTCCGTGGGAAAGGGGATTTCTGTGGAGGAAAATTCCCAAAAAAATCCGTTTGGAGGGAAAATTCCAGCCTGGGAATTCCCTGCTGCGGCTCCCGCTGGGCTTTGGGAAGAACCTCGGGAAACCGGGAATTTGGAGGCTGGAACTCTGGGACGAGGATCCCAAATCTTCCCTCTTTGGCCTCCTTCCCTCCCCTTTCTTTCCCTGGGAATTCCGGGATTTTTCCTTTGGGAATTCGGGGCTGGGAGTTGTCTTCGCCTGGAACTGGGGGGGGAATCTGGGAATTCCCATCCCGGATTTCCTGGGATCGAAGCGTTCGGGGTTTTCCAGGGGGAAATTCGGGATCGCCCGGGGAACTGCAGGAATTTGGGGAAGTTTTCCCGGATTTTTCCGGCTCCGGAATTCTGGGCTCGGATTTGGAGCCGCAGCCCCGCCCAAGAGGGCAATTAAGGGTTAATTAGGGCCAACTTTAATTGCCTGGGGTCATTCCCGGGGTTAAATCCCAACTCTGGGGCGGCTCCAGGAGTTTTTCCGGCAATCTGGGGGCTGGAATTGGGAATTTGGGAGCTGGAATTGAGGATTTGGTGCCTGGATCGGGAATTTTGGGGCCTGGATTGGGAATTTTGGGGCCAGGATTGGGAATTCTGGGTCTGGAACGAGGAATTGATGGGAATTCCCTTTTCCTGTTGCTGTTTTTCCAGAGGTTTTTCCAACGGGAGCTTGGAAAATGAAGGTCAGAGGCTGAGGGAGCCACAGCTGGAAGGGGCACCTGGAATTCAGGTAAATTCCGGCTTTTCCTGCAGCCCTGGGGGAGGAATTCCAGGATTTTCCCTCCAAGGCCAGGCTGAAGCGGGAGCAGACGGAAATCCCTCCTTGGAACGTGGATTTGGGGCTGGAAAAACGGGGGGAAAACCGGGAAAACCCCAAATTTTGTTGCCAAATCCTCGTTTTTCCGTGGGAATCTCGGGGTTTTTGGGGATGCCGATAAACCCGGGGCGGTTCTCGGGGTTCTGGGGGGGAATTCCGGCTCTTCCCGAGGTTTTTATGGTTCCCTCAGAGTCGGGGTCGGGAGGCGGCCGAGCCCGGAGCCGGGCCGGGATAGATGGACAAGCCAAGCAACTTCTGACTCCGCGGCTTTTCCGGGCTGAAATTCCATGGCAATGTATCCCACAAGGTACCGGGGGCACGGGGGGCTCCGGGGATCCCTGCTGACAGAATTCCTGCTCTTTATCCCCAAATTCCTGCTCTTTATTCCCAATTCCTGCTCTTTATCCCCAAATTCCTGCTCCTTATTCCCAATTCCTGCTCTTTATTCCCAATTCCTGCTCTTTATTCCCAAATTCCTGCTCTTTATTCCCAATTCCTGCTCTTTATTCCCAAATTCCTGCTCTTTATTCCCAAATTCCTGCTCTTTATCCCCAAATTCCTGCTCCTGACAGAATTCCTGCTCTTTATTCCCAATTCCTGCTCCTGACAGAATTCCTGCTCTTTATTCCCAATTCCTGCTCTTTATCCCCGAATTCCTGCTCTTTATTCCCAATTCCTGCTCTTTATTCCCAAATTCCTGCTCCTGACAGAATTCCTGCTCTTTATTCCCAATTCCTGCTCTTTATTCCCAATTCCTGCTCCTTTTTCCCCAATTTTTTCTCCTTTTTCCCTTCAAATTTCTTCCCCTTCCTCAAAATCTTTCCCCTTTGAGGAATTTTGAGGGAATACAACGGGATTTTGGGGTAATCAAATGGGATTTTGGGAGAAATAAATGGGATTTTGGGAGAAATAAATGGGATTTTGGGGGAATGCAATGGGATTTTGGGGGAATGCAATGGGATTCTGGGAGGAATAAATGGGATTTTGGGAGGAATAAATGGGATTTTGGGAGGAATAAATGGGATTTTGGGGGAATGCAATGAGATTTTGGGGGAATGCAATGGGATTTTGGGAGGAATGAATGGGATTTTGGGAGGAATAAATGGGATTTTGGAAGGAATAAATGGGATTTTGGGAGGAATGCAGTGGGATTTTGGGAGGAATAAGTGGGATTTTGGGAGGAATAAATGGGTTTTGAAGGAATGCAGTGGGATTTTGGGGGAATGCAGTGGGATTTCGGAGGAGCCAAGGCCTGGATCCTGTCCCGCAGGGTCTCTGGCGAGGAATGCAACGGGCTGAACGCGCTGGCGGCCGACAGCGGCCCCGGCACGCGCCTGCGGAACCTTCCGGTGCTGCCCGACGCGCTGGACTCGGCG